GCGCCTCGTTGGCTATAATCATCTCATATCCGACAAACGCGAGTGGAATAATTGTTTTATTAAAAAAACGCCCCCAAACTATTAGACAAATCCTCTCGACTTTATTTTGTGAGAAGAAACCGGATTTAACAATGCACAGAAATTAGATTATGGTATATTGGCTGATATACCATAATGGCTGAGCCAATAAAAAGTCTTGAATAGCATTATCCAATGATCCAGTTTTTAATAATAACTGATAATAACAATGTTGAAAAAACTGCTGACTTTACTTACAGTAGACCAGGATTACAGTGGAATTGGTTATGGTATCAGCAGTGTTGCTTGCTTTACATAAATACCATCCTTCATCCGTTCTTCTTAGGCTGTTGAACTTCAAAAGTGCAACTCCCTTCCCTGAACTTATCACTGTTCTGTCTCTGATCCAAGTAACAGCTGGTTCTGGAACTCCGGATGCTGTGCAATTGACATTAACGAAGGATCCCTCTCGATAAATTCCCTGCACTGATGACAGACTTATCTTTGGTGGTTCTACAATAAAAAAAAAAAAAACAGTTAAGAGTAGCTGAGTGGCGTACACGGGTATTTTATGAGCACCCTCATTACAACTGAAGTCTCTCCTACTTAAGTTGTAAATTTAATGGATTATTTTTTTCATAAACACATATTGTTAAAAACAAACAATATTCCTTTCAAATCAATTTATTTTATTAGACTTTTCACGTTCTTTAAAGGGCAATACCTGTAAATACTTTTATCATTATTGTGACCCATGCACCAGGCACACGATCTAACACTCACAAAAATTTAAAAAATGAAGTTAATGTTATAAACAATTCATATCTAAAAAATATTTCAGAGGAAGAAAGTGATTCTGCAACCCTAGCAAATGGAAAGAGCGCGGGCTTTATCAATTCCTGCAAGAAGTGAGAAATTTGGGACTTTAGGCTGAGTAATACTGATAAAGCGACTCTTCGGCAGTCTCAGTCTCAGTTTCGCCTCAGGAGACTTGCAGTTACTAGGTAGAGATCTGCGATGTAAAGCGGAAGTGGTATTACATCGTCCAAAAAAACTATGTTAATGAATTACTTTCCAACGTCTGCTTACTTCGTTACTGAGAAAAACATGGCAAGCAGTGACGTAAGACAAATCACTTGCTTTGCTTCTTTGAAGACAGTATCCTCGACTCACACAGAGAAGACAAATTACCTTCGAAGAGATTTCTATAGAGCAATCTGAAAAGGAAAAGACCAGGCCCCTTCAGACTATTCAGACACTTTGCTTCTGTCAGAAATTCTGAATTTTGATAATTAGGAAACTACAAATAGATTTGCGGCACCAATTTGTTTAGGGCCAGAAACAATTCAGTGCAGTGTCTGAGAAGAACGCGCCAACTGTTTTTCAAGCTTCTGCCATGACAAATTTAATGGCCTTCTTGCTCTTCAAATATTACTTAAAAAAATCTTTCTACGCTGATTTCATCGTTCTTTTCTCCTGGTCGCGTAGTTATCATCAAAGGTGTGGTTCACCTGATGTTCTAGAAATGTACATGTACAAAACTTTGCCGCGAGAAAATTGCTGAAGTTACTTGTTACAGCGTTAGGTGACTGCACCTCGTTGTAAGCAATTAGAGTTTTTGCGGTGAAACCACCAAAACTATAAAAAATAGGGTCAAAACAAAAACTTACTGTGATTTTTTAATTTTAACTTTATGCGAGCAAAGAACATCAAGAAAGATGCAATAAAATCATACCCTTGTATGACCATAATGAAAGTATTTTGTCAGGTGTACGTGCTATACAAACCTGCCACGATAAGCTGAATAGTGCTTCTCTTTGAAAGTTCACCAAATATTTCACATCTAAATTCAGTGTTGTCTTTCGGTGTTATCTTCTCAATAACTAGTGTAGCATTTCCTTCCATCCTGACCCTTCCTTGGTAAAGAGCAGGTATGCTTGAATGGTTTGCAATAACACCATACTGTTTGTACAGCATTGGTTTAAACTCTTTACCTTGATTTCCATCCACTAAAACGCTAAAGATAATACCATCGAAATCATTGTTTGGGTCGATGTAGTCCCACACCAGTTTGGCTGTGCTTCCATTCTTAACGTAGGTTGGACTAGAAGGCCTTTTTGTAAACTGAACTTCTGCTTCTATTTGAGCGAAAATTAAAAAAAAAAAAAAGAAAACTATGACTACGATTAGAGCAGTTCCGATATCATAACGTCAAAAGGAATACTGGATGAAAGAAATTAAATCGACCACAAGTTGCCATTTACTTTGGAGGTACCTGGAGTCTGCGATGTAATAAAGAACGAAAGTTGATGGGAGAGCAAAGAGCGCATTATCTCCACCCAAAAACTCCCACAAAATTTTGGACTTCGTTAAGCCTAAATCTGACTCCTTGCAAATTACCGCACGGGTTATCGATTAAGTGGCAATAGCGATTTCAGGTGTAACATTACTTATCATTCAGAATACAGCAAGACGACCCGTTCGATCTTGATACTTTCTCAACTTTGAAAATGAAGTACCCACGATATGTATTAGCGATAAATTATGACCTCTAAGAAGCTTTTATAATTTGGTGGGGAATTCATAGTGTATAACTGTTAACAATAGCCTCCTAGAGATAATGAGCCAGCTAGTCTGAGGTAAGGCGCGAATTCCTACCGATTTACACATATGTGTGCCATTAAATTTATAGAGCCTAGCAGTGAAATGGTGTATCGAACGTAGAAATAGTTTGAGAATTGGAAGAGTCAATTTGAATCATTGTTGAACCTCCATTTTTTGTAGCTATGGATTTCCAGCGCACTGTAATTCAAAACTAAAAGTAAAGAAAGAGGACTGGCTCGATCTCGCTGCCGAAACACTGATTTGTGACATCGAAATTTTTAAAAAGTTGACATGACCAGCCTCTTCCTAGATTCGGTTGGTTTTATGGCGTATTGCTTTTGTGTATTGGTAGAAAGTGGTGGGTGACTTTGTTTATAGAAGCCCTGGCCGTTTGCGAGAAACGGTGACCACCAGTACAACGACAGTCAAAAATAGGAGGTTTCAGGTTAAACAAACTAAAAATTGAACGCCGAAAACTGCAGCGACATATGATATTCATGATATTCATTTGTCATCTACGGGTTTATGTCGAATTAATTTGATGGCCTGCTCCCAGTTGGCTTGTTAGCTCAATTGGTAGAGCGCTGCACTAGTATCGCAGAGGTCAGTGGTTCGAATCCCGTACAGGCCTGAAATTTTTTTCAGGTCTGATTTTCACTATTGCTCAAATAGTGCTTTACTGCGAAGGATCGTGCTCATATAAGATATCGAGATTGTTGACCGCGTTATCATGAAAGCCAGCAATATGAATCATTTCCCAGCGTGGAGCGAAATTTAAAATACACTTAAGTTATCAATGATCATGGAACTGTTTCGGAGCGTCGAAAAACTGCTGTGCTTTAGCAATTTAGTGGTATTCACCCTATTAATGGTTACACTGTAAACTGCATAGAAACTGCAACTCTACCTACTCCAAATAATTAGCCCATAGGCTTGGTGGAATGTATCTATTAAATATTCTTATCAAATGGGTATGTTTATGAAGAGAAAATGCAAGTTGTCCGTTACAATATTAGATAAACTCAAGAAGTGATCAGTCGATATGACAAATGGTG